TTCCTATTTTACTTATGACTGTTGTGGTGATACTAATATTTACTAATATTGTCTCCCTTTACTTTGCATCTTTCTTCTGGATTTCATGGTGTTCCTATTTATCCTATGATTGTTGTGATACTAATATTGTCTCCCTTTTTGTCCCTTTTGTCTTCTTTTTTTTGAGCCGAGGGTCTTTCGGAAACAGCCTCCCTACTCCTTCTGGGTAGGGGTAAGGTCTGCATACACACTACCCTCCCCAGACCCCATTAGTAGGATTTTACTGGGTTGTTGTTGTTGTTGTTGTTGTATCTGTAATATTGAATTTTATGCTAACAATTTGTTATATTTTTTTTAAACTGTGACATTTATGTAACGCCCCTTTAAACAGAGGCTAAATTTACACACCAACCCATAAAGTGGCCATCCCGTCCGAAAAATCCAATTATATAATCAGAGGTTAAATTTTCTTATAGTTATCATTCCGGTTTTGTTTCGTGGTTTTAAATCTCGCAGACTGGGCTCATGGACGGCTCAAGCGCACGTTGGGCCTAAGTATTTATAGGAACGTTATAATATATATTTTTATTTAAAGTCTATTCTCCTAGAATCTAGCTATTGGTGCTAAGATGATTTTGAATAACCAGATGCATATTTTCTTGTTGACATATTTATATTTTTTTAAAAAAACAATATGTACATAGTAAAATTAATAAAATAATAAATAAAAAATAAAAATAACACTAGAGAAAGTTAGAATGATATTACCCAATGACTGACTGATTCAAGAAGTTTGAAGACTTTGATTCTAAAATATCTAGTTGTTGGCTTGTTGGAATCTTGGAGAAAGAAAGAAATATAATAGAAAGAACTAAGAAGATGAGCATGAATAAAGAGGAATGAAAAAGATATGTCTTCTAGAATATAAAGAATGAAATGAAATTGAAACGTTTTGGGAACAAGAATAAAAATTAGAGTTGTCAAATCAAATCAAAGTGACAATTATTTTTCTACTATTTTAAGCTTTACTTTATTAATATATCTAAAAGTTTTTCTTTTTTTATATAAAAATTACAAAAGTATATATATATTTAAAAAAAAATCTATAAACCTATAAAATATATATTATTCATAAAAATAGGGGCCCCAAAATTGGGCTTAAGGCACTTGACTTACCCAATACATGTTAAAGCCGGCCCTGGGCTGTTTAGAGTTTGTTCGTTTTGTTTCAAAGGAAGATTGCTGTGTCACTAATGGCTTTCCGTCTCGTAGGGTAAGTTGGTTTTAGCCTAACTTTTGGTTTATCCTAATTCCTAAGGCTTGTTTGATCTCTGTCTCAATTTTGAGGTGATTTTTAAATTTTTGGTTTGGGTAGAAGACAAATGGCTGCTGGTGCTGGTAGGGCTTTGCTTGGAGCACCAACAACACAAATCAGGTATAAATTTTTTTCTTTTGATGGCAGAATTTTACCCCCATTTTTTTACGAAGAGGTCAAGCGAGCTCAGCTGCTTAGGGTTTGTGTTTTGTTTCAACGGAGATTGCTCTGCACTATGGTTTTCCACCTCGGAGGGTGGGTTGGCTAATTTTTTATTTATCCGATGAGTTGATCGATTTTTGTCTCATGTTTTTTTTTTGTTTTCTTATGGTTTGGGTAGAAAACAATTGGCTGCTGGTAGGGTTTTGCTCGGAGCACCAAGAACACAAATGAGGTATGTGGGCGGCGACGGTAGATATATTGTTATTGTTATTGTTATTGTTATTGTTATTGTTATTGTTATTGTTATTGTTATTGTTATTGTTATTGTTATTGTTATTGTTATTGTTATTGTTATTGTTATTGTTATTGTTATTGTTATTGTTATTGTTATTGTTATTGTTATTGTTATTGTTATTGTTATTGTTATTGTTATTGTTATTATTATTGAAGTTTCGTGTCTTCTTGATTCCGAATTAGGGGTTACTGCCAGCAATTTTCTTCCGGTCAGGGAGGCCATTTTCATCCCGAGGGTAAATTTTTCAACGTCCTGTCTTATTAGTTTCGCTTCAAATTTCAAATCTCACACTTTTATGTCTCTGGTCATCCTTGCATGCAGTTCAAGCTTTCTATAACGGGATAGTCTTCGGTGGGCTTCCCTACTTGTTCTGGTGTGTAGCTTGACCTTGGATGGATTTTGTTTTAAATGATAAAAAAACATGAAAAATTTGTCTTTTCCAGCTGGGCTAATTATTTTGCAGAAACTTTTGTCTTTTGAAACACTTATTTCTTAATTTTTTTTTTGCAGGGCACATTGGCAAATGTGGAAAATCGATCAGTAAGTTATTCCTTCTCAGTTTTTTTTTCTCGAAAGTTAATAATTATTGTTCACAAAACAGAAAAAAAAAACATACTAAGTGTATAAATTGAAGGAACTCTGTGAAATTTGAAATAGATTCTGCCTCTTCTACAACTCCATTCTGCACAAAAAATAAAACATAATTACATAGTTATACATGATTGCTGTATTGAGTTTTGAATATGCCTTTCAAAATATCTTGCATTTCTTTCTTTCCAACCTGATGTTCATAAAATTCAAGAAAATCTGCTACACTTAAGGATAAGCTTCTCTCAAGTATAAATATTTTGAATGTAAACTTTCCCTAAATCTGATATTGTTTGGTGCCTGGGATTCTAGTAGTTTTTGCCTGCTTTTGCTTTTAATGTCTGGTGAGTTGGTCTTGTTTTAATATGAACTTATTATCTATCCTCCTTGTATTGAATTCACTTTGATCTTTGTCTCTAGGTCAAGTAACGAGGTTTATACTGAGAGGTCTATGGAGATTGAAAAGATCCTGAAGGAGCTCAGCTAATACTTGGTTGTGGTCATTACGGAGATGCTTACTCTAATTTATATATCTATCCTATCGCATCATATATCCTACTAGTTAAAACTCATTCATCCTTGATTGTGTGATGCCCTTTTTGAAAGGTATACTATACACTGTCGCTAAAAAGTTTTTTTTATTATTTTTAAAATCACTCTCAAATTATGAGGATCTATAATGTTTTCACACTTCTCCTCCAGCATGACTCAAACTCAGGATCAAACGGTCGTAGGTTGAGGTGCTTTACCAACTGAGCAAGCCTCACTAAAAAGTTAAAAAACTCATACTGATGTGTTTGTTGTTGATCAGTGTGTTACTGCTATGAAATTGCTGGCTAATGCTCGACTAAGTTAACTATCTACAGCCTGCTACAATATATCTTATCGTATCGTGACAAGCTTGCCTTTAATATCCTCAGACAGTGACTGTATTATTTGGATATTTCCACCTTTTTATGCAACAATTTTGGTTCTTAATTTCTTTCTAGTTTTTTCTTAACAAACTAATTACATAATGAGTCATCTACAAATTTATCGTCCCATATGAACACCAATAGCAATACTAAATAATCTCGTATAAAAACCACAAGCATAGAGGATTATTAAACAGTTGAATTCTTTTTACTTTGTTTCCCGTTGAAGGGGAAAAGAAGGTATGCCAAAAGAAAGGAACTTTCGCTAAGTTTTCAGAAACTTCTTATCATGTTTAATCAAATTAAAGTACCAAATATTACCTAGAATTGGCACCAGGTAGCCACTTTAAAGGTCTGCTATTTAGAAATTAGTCAGTGTTACTAAATTTCAGTTTTTCAATTCAACTTTTTAGGACAAAAATGTCTTGAATTGTTCTGAAGTTAAACTTTTTAGTTTTAAATTTCAAGACAAAATAAGTACGAACTAATCTCTAAATAGCATCTCTAAGAATGACGATATGTGCACTTGCCGGAGAAGCAAGTGCTTATATTATACAGACATATGAATTAGCATGAAAGATATAGTTAGGCGTTGTTAAAAGTAACTTATAATATATACATAAAATTAATATGTTGCATTATGGATTAAACAATACGTAGTTTGATATAAAAAATAATAATTTCACAAAAACGTGAAGTAGCAAAATTCGCGTCTAAAATTACAAGTTACAACTTTTGTCTTGGGAAGTCACAACTACATATGACTGAATTAAGTGCATCCATTTTTGCCTGCACTTCATATGCACGTCTTAAGTGCATGTGCAAAAAAATAACACATTTCAATTATATGCGTTAAATGATTGAAATATTCTTGACTTATAAACACACTTGGTATTTATCAAATGCATTAAAAAAATGCTTATAAGCTTATCCAAATGCTCTGGTACCAAAAAGAGTATTATCCTAAGGACAAATAAGTTTACAAGTTGAGTAATTTTTAATCAAAGGTTTAGTGGGACTTAATTCTCATTGGATCTCGGTTGTTCTTAACAGCGATGGCTAGGTCGAGATGAATGGAAAATGTTTCTGGAACTAGTTTTTGATAGGGTTTATCTTAGCTCGGATTATTCATGAACACTTTGACTCATCAACCCTCACTTACTTTTGAGTTTCGACCTCCTTTTTACACTAGTTGCTACTCCAATTTTTATGTATTTGCGATTTGACCATAAGAGGTTTTAGTGGAGACGTACTTTGACCCCAGAAGAATATTCCTTAAGCACACAAATATGTGCTTCTGTTTTCCTTATTTAATTGCGTCTTTTTTTTATCTCCTAATTTCATATAGTATAATATTAATGTTTTAATATAAAGATGGGGATGAATTTTATAGTTAGTTCACTTCCTACGGTCAAAGTAATAGGTTATAGGTTATGTTAAGTGTTGAAATTTAGCACTTAACACAACAACAAGTAGCAGATTAAATAATTATGTGTATATTGTGTCGCTATTTGTCACATTCAATTTATGTTCTATTTTGAGATAGACGTATAAAATCATAATTACTTAGCTTGTCAACGGTATAATTTAATGTAAGGCTTATCACCCACAGGAAATAAAGACAAACGTCCAAATCATTGAAATAAGGTGTCAAAATCTGTATATTTAACATGTTTGGTCCAAAGCTAAGGTTTCATTTCAATTCAATAGTCAATTGTATTAGACATATTCCTACTTCTTAACTTAAAAGCGGAAATGGCATTTGCCAGCCTAGTTAGCAGTGTGGGAACACCAATAGGCTCCTCTCTTTTTCAAAGATGTACACGTCCAAACAAATAACTCACATCCTCGTCAAATCAACAAATACGAGACATATATTTACATTTACAACGGTACACAAAGGCGGACCTATGCAATTGACACAGGGTTACCGACACCCGTAAAGTCAGCAAAAATTTCATATATACATATATATCTTTAAAAAATAGTAACATATTAATAAAAATAATGAACACCTTATATACAAAGTAAATTTTGATTGAATCAAAAAGTTTACCTGCGACTAGGGGTGGCAAACGAGCGGGTCGGGTCGGGTATAAGCGGGTCCAAAACGAGTAATTCAAAACTGGATAACTTATCCGACCTGACCCGTATTTGAGACAGATAAAAAAATGGAATATCCGGCGAATAATATGGATATCCATACATTCATGGCTTCATGAATATGATCTCTTTGGAAGAATTCCTAGTCTTCCAAACTTGAGGAACCCCCAATTTGAAACTTTACAAATGTAAAAGTTAAACACATTAGTTATTCATTGGTTATCCATTTGGTTTAACCATTACTATTTTCTAAGTGGATAATATGGTTCTTATCCATATTCAACTCGTTTTTAAAAAGTTCATTATTCAACCAATTTTTTAATGAATAATATGGGTGGATAACTATTTTCTTTTAACCGTTTTATCATCTCTACCTGCGACCTTCAAATTCTGTTTCCATCTCTCAATACACATACATAAACACTGTATTAAGCATTCATTCTTTTTATGTCAATATTATATTATCATACAAAAACGAGTTTTGACATACAAAATGACTGAGCACTCTTCAATGATCAATAACAATTCTAGAAAGGCAAATGAGCATTTGTAACTTAAATATTCTAGATCCATCATTGCATATTTGCATTTGAGTATTTCAAAATTAATTAACAAATATTTTTATTTTATTTTATTAAATCGAGATAAATTTGCTCGATGCAAATATCGGGTATTAGTGAGTATTTTTTTCATGGAAAAATATCATTGTATAGCCGCTGTAAAAATAATAGCTGAGAAAATGTATAAGATTTATATATATATATATATATATACACACACACACATTCTGTATGTTATATATAAAAATTATACAAATTTTATACACTTTTTCGACAATCAGATATAAATAATTTTTGACACGGGCTAAAAGTAATAATACACTTTTTTTTTTTTTTTTTTTTTTTTTTTTTTTTTTCATCTTTACCATCCTTTCATAGAGAAGGCCCAAACATCCTACCTGGACCCATCTCTACCCGATTCGTATCTTGTGATAGAGAAATATCCGGGTTTGGGAATGTAGGACCCGACACGTGTGATAAGAAAATCAAAATTAAAATATAAAATATGAAAGAAATTGGATGAAGGAAGACCCACTCCAAAAGAAAAAGAAAAAAGAAAAAAAGAAGACATTTCTGAAGAAGAAACATTCCTTTTTCTCTATGTTTTCAAAGGGGGACAAAGCAGGGTTTTATGAAAATTACAAAGAGCGAGAGTTAGAAATATAATACTTAAGTTTTTAAATAATTCGAATAAGAGCAGAAAAGGAGTTTTAGAGTTACCAGCAATTGGAAATATAGCAAGTTGTTTTGGAAAGCAGAAGCAAAAGTTTGAGCTTTTGGGATTCCAAAGCGAAGCTCTCAATTAGGGGGTTTTCCAATTATTTGAACCAACTAATCAAGGTAAAGTTCATTTCTTTTTTTTAAAGTTATTAGTTACCTCAATTATTGTTGAAATTGTTTTCGAGTATATTTTGCTTTCTGTGATTGTGATTGTGTTTTCCTTCATTGTTTTGCTGCATTACTTGCAATATAGTATTTAATTCAATCTTTTTTGTGCTATTTTTTGTTTTATATGTTAGAAAAATATGAACTTTACGCATTTTAGGCTTACAGCAATCCAATTATTGACTAGGTTTTCATTTTCCTATTTTGTGGTCTTTTTTAGGTTGAAATTGTTCTAGGGTTTAGCTTTAGTTTTGTTTTTCCAGTTGTCTAATTAAGTTTTTTTTCCCTTTCATGAAGAATTTGTAAACCCAAATTCCTTTTAGTTTTGGATTGTGAAGATTTTTTTCCTACTTTTGCATTTGCTATACACTAATTTATTTTCCCTTTGTTTGAAAATTTTCTTTGCAGGTCGACAAGAATTTATGTGGTAAAAGTTCTCGGAAAGATTCAATTTTTATTAGTCTTCGTGCTTGATCCAAAAGGCATTTCAGGGTCTGGTGAGTTCTCGTGTCCTTGTTCTGTTGATTGTACTTTTCTCTATTGCATGGGTTTAATTGAATAATTTATAAATTACGTTTTGGGGCATTCTAATTGGTATTCTCTCTGTTGCCTATAACGTGATCTGATGTGTAAGATTTTTGTACTTTAGCACAAAATTGCCACTGCATATATTCCAGGTTTAAGGATTAGTTCTGAGATGCTTCAGAAGATAAGTTACAACCACTACCTGCGTGTGACTTTCTTTTTCTACACGTCCTTGATGATTTTTGCATCTAATTACAAACTCAGGTGTAAGATTGTCTTCTTGGAACACTGTTTTTCCCCCCTTCAAAATCAGATGCCATTGGCACGCTCTTTTACTGTTAAGGCTGTTTTGTATCTGTGTACTTACAACCATAAAATGCTGAATAGGTGTAAAAAAATTCAGATGCCATTGACACGCTCTTTTACTGTTAAGGCTGTTTTTTATCTGTATACTTACAACCGTATAATGCTGAATATGGAACTGTGATCAAGCTTGCCTTTAAAGGAACTACATAGAAATTTCCTTTTTGTGTGGAAATTGCACAGTTAATCTATGTTTGTTCTCATAATGATATCTTGAAAACTCAATACCTCTTTTATTGACTATGGGAATGACACGGGTATAAATTGATTGAAATGGATAGTGATGATTCATATAGCTGATCTCTCTCATATAAAAAAATGAAAATCTTAGAGCATCATTACCAATTAGAAGTACATACCTCAACTTAGTTACGAGTGTAATTTGGTGCAGACGCACTGATAAAAAATTTTGGTGCAGACATATCTCCCATCCATTTTAACACTACCTTATTATCTAACCAGTAAGCATTTATTCTTCTTGAAGTTTTATTTTCCAGTTAAACCATATAATTTAATTTTTTAGAAAAAAGACGTCCTTTGGTGTATCTGGTTCTGAACAAAGACAACATAACATGTTGGTAGTGTGTTTTGAACATGGAACCTCATAAATTCTTTGAACCTTTTTAACCACTGTTCATCATGGAGATTCAATCGTATATACAAACAATTATAATATATTATTATATGTAACTCACCGTCTCACCCATAGGAACTGAGAAATTTTCTGACCAAAGGGGATTAAGCTGAACCCCCTTGGCACCATGTAGGTCCGTCATGTTAGGAACATTGTGTTTTCGCTCTTCTCATGTGGGCAGTTTTTCATGTGTCGTAGGTGCTTATTGTAGATTTTCTTATCCAGATTGTCACCAAATTTTAGTTACATTAGATAGAACACGAGGCACTTTGGATCCTTTAATATATACGTTTCTGATGTGTTTTAGATGCATATTGTGGTGGTGGACTAACTGTGACCTCCTCTCTCAGTTTAAACCAGAATTCGTTATCGGCTGATGCACCAACTTATATTCTATCTGTTAATATATCTCATAGTCAATCATTACAGTTTTTGAAAATGATCACAGGTATGTACTCTATTTATAGCATAGTCAAATCTGCTTCGTGATGTAGGAGGTCTTTGAGTAGTACTTTTAGGTTTGCAACCTTGTAGGAAAGCTTGAACTTTCTAATTTGCATGCTTTTACTACTTCTCTGTGCTAAAAGGATCAATTAACTACACCTCAGTCCCAAAATTAGTTGGGGTTAGCAACATGTATACTCTTATGAATATTCTGGTCCTGTGTTTTAAGGATGGAAAATTGATCTGACATGTAAAATAGAACGAATAATCTCTTGCGCCAACAATTTTATCATTAGATATTCAATTGTCGGGAAGTAGTATTCTTATTTTACATTTTGGATCAGAGGGCTAAGTTATGAAAGCATTGTCTCTAACCTATTGAAATCATGTTTGGAACTTCTCTTCTGCAGGGAAGGTTGGAGAAAATTCCTCTGCTTTTCTTTTCCGGGTATGAAGGATTACGAGATAGCATGTTAAGAAAATCACTTTGCTTCTTGGAAGTCGTAACCTTTGTGGCAATAATACATCATGACACTCGAGGACTTCTTTACCTTGACTGAGATGAGTAATGGGCTTACAGCGCCTGCTCGAGTCCAGGAGCTAGTCTCTATCATGCAGAAGGAAAAAGAGCGTGGTGTCAAGAATACTATTGAAATAATGAGACATTGGACTGCTGTTGCAAGCACAATAGCTGCAACTGAGAATAAAGAGTGTCTTGAACTCTTTATCCAGCTAGATGGACTTCACTTTATGAACAGTTGGTTAAAGGATGCTCAGGAGTTGGAGAGTGACACAAATGAAAATGTAGCTGAAGAGACAATCACTCATTTTCTACGAGCGATTGAAAGGCTGCATGTCGACAAGGAGAAGTCAGTTTTCTCTGGAATCATGGTGAATGTGAAGAATCTCCTTGGCCACAAAAGTTCTAAGATACAAGAGAGGTCTAGAGCATTGTTTGATAGTTGGGAGAAAGAAAAAGATGAGGATGCAGGTTCAATGAGTGATGAAAAAGAACATTCAGGACCTTCTCTCAGGGGCGTTTCTCCTTCTGGGTCCAGAGAAGAGAAGAGCGAGGAACACATCGGTGAGAATAAGCTGCTGTCGTCAAGGTCCGATGACATCCATCCATCCATAGTTAATTACACCGAGGCATTGGACAGAAATTTGCAGCATACAATGTTGAAAGATGGGTCTCCAAATTCTCCGTCTTTGGCAAAATCTGCTAGTGAAGACAAGGAAAAATACCTGGCTTATCATGCAGAGTGTAGCGCCACTGCAATTGATACATGCACTTCTGCAGTGGAGAGACACTGTAGTCTTGATGAGCAGAAAGATATTCCTGTTTCAGAGTCTATTAATTGTTTAAACCACGTGCAAGAAGTCAGAAGTCCAGAGAAATTAGACTCGGCAGTGCCTAAACCATTAGACATCAAAACCTTCTCTTCAGGTCCTGATGCCAGAGAAGAGTCAAAGGCTGTCTCTGGTCAAGATTTACAAAGACAAAATGATGTCAAAAATGTAGATGATGATAAAGAGATATTTTCTGTTGATGATGTATCAGTATTTTCTGTTGATGAGGTATCAGTGGCCAGTTCGAAGGGAAAAATACCGACAGACAACAGTGTCTCTGCAAGTCATGACAGAAGCAATACAGTTCTTGGAGCTAAAGAAGACAGAAAGTACAACATTGACATGTTGCAAGATTCTTCCAACAAACATAATCTGGAGCATCCCAAAGATTTGAGTATTGCTTTGATGAAAGTGGATGTTGGTGGGGATGAAAAATGTGTTAGTAGTAAAAGTGAGGATGATCTGGAAACTGACACTGAATTTGAAGTACCACAAAGAGGTATTACAATATGTAGCGTGCTTGAAAAGAAAGGTGATATTGAATTAGACTATGGCATCATAGATCCTTTAGAAGTTGCTCGACAAGTTGCAATAGAAGTTGAGAGAGAAGTCCAAGAGAGTTGCAGTTCTTCTGAGAAAACACGGGAGAGTAAGGTTCATGAGCCTGATAGCCCAGATTCTAGGAGAGCAAATGGCTCCAATAAGGAAATACCAAAAGGAACACCTGTTCTGCCTGAGGTTTCACTTGCATACTCAGAAGCTGGCCCAATTAATGGCACAGAGAAGGTAGAGTCCTCTCAGATTACTGATGCTGCTTTGGATCTTGAATCCAATGACCAAAAAGGGCTGTGTCATTTTGATTTGAATCTAGAGGTTAGCTCAGACGACATAGATCGACCAGGAAATCCAATCTCCACGTCCATCTCTGTTGTTTCTGCTTCAAGGGCAGCAGCTGCTCCTGGAGTCCCTGGTCCTCCTTTGCAGTTTGAAGGGACTCTTGATAGACTTGCCGATCTAATTACTGGAAAACAAGCCTCAGTATCATCTACTCTTCCTTCAGGGGAATCTTCTGTTGAAGCTAGCCCAAAAAAATTGGCAAGGCTCGAGTTAGATCTGAACTGTGTTAGTGAGGAGGGTGAAGCACCAACAAATTGGCGGGTGGAAAGAAGACTCTTCCCGGATAGGGGCGATTGGAGTCACTCTCCATCATCGTCGTCATCATCAAAACAACCATCATTAAGAAACTTTGATCTAAATGACCAGCCGACTTTTCTCCATGATTCTTCAGATCTACCTTTCTTCAAGAAGCCGTCTCAGTATACAAACACCTCTGGAGGTATTAATTCAGGTGATTCTGTAGTATCCATCATGGGCATGAAGGTAGACGTCAACCATAAAGATCCTGTTTCTCGGTCTGTTATGTTACCAAATGGAAGGATAGTGGAAAATGCAGTTGATCTTAGTACTGCAAGAAGTGGTTTCTTGGGAATGGGATCTCCATTTCCGTATACCCATTCTCCTGCCACTGGATACAATGGCATCACACCGGGTCTTGCCATGCCTTTTCCCTCGGCGATGTATGGATCCGGTGGTTCTATCCCTTACATGGTGGATTCCCGGGGGGCACCTTTTGTGCCTCACATTTTGGGCTCTGCTTCAGCAATACCACCATCCTTCTACCACCAACCATTTGTTATAAGCATGACTGGTGCACCTGTTTCTAGTGGGGTGATGCCATCAAGGAGTNGGAGAAGTCTAGATCTCAATACCGGCTCAATACTTGAGGGAGGAACTAGAAACCACAGAGGTACAATGCAGCTTTTTGATCAAGGACCGACCAGGTCAATGGACGACCACTTTAGGACCACCTCAGGACCCTCAACCAGTTCAAGTATCGGTGGGAAACGCAAAGAACCAGATGATGGTTGGGAACCTTTCCCTTTTAAACTTCATCCTCCACCTTGGAAGTAGACTTAATTTATCTGGTTTTCCTCGCGGGCTCGGTTAACAGGCCAGTGTTTATAGCAATAGGTGAATCCCAGGTAGGAGAGACTAGTGATTTAGTGGGGGGCCATTATATAGCTGAATAAAGACTCAATTTCTGAATGTGATATGATTCTTGACATTACTTGGCATAGAGAAGGTGCTAGGTTTAATTGTCTCAAAAGTGTAATTTTAACTTTGTTATTTACTTAGCGTTTCATTTAGGGTCTCTGCCAGCACAGAGAACATGTAGCTGTAATTTCTCATTTACATCAAAGAAATTTAGAAGAATGTTTCTTGTCTCTATTATGTTCTCTTATTCATAATCAAAGTGTCCCCTAAATTCGATAACTAAGTGTTGAAGAACTTAAATTTTAGCTCGAAAAGAGGTAAATTTAGAGTAATAGAAAGTTTCCACGTAAGATTTTAGCGAGTAATGACAAGCATAGAGAAAGTTCATTAAATCTGAGATAACTTAAATTGGCTAATTTGGCACAAAGAGTAATTGACTATTGACAGCTTATAATCAAAAGTAAGGGTGAGATGGATATTTTGGTGCATAATCATACAGCTTAGAGTCAAAAGTAATTAACTCATATACTACAGGACAATGAAGTTAAATTTAAGATAATCAACGGTGTGTTATCAAAATTGAATACACGTACAGATACATGCTTTACATCTAGTAAATGCGCAAGTCCAAAAAGAAAATATGAGATAAATACACTCCAAAAAATGAAACTAAGAACAACCGAGGACCTACTCATAAACTAACATGTACGATTCCCTCGTACAAGCTTCTCAGAAATATCGATACAAGGCCAATGTCAGCAACACTTTCAGAAACTACTTGCAGCAGGATGGTATCTTAATTCATGTCAGCACCAAAAGGGCATTCCTTCGTTAGGAAACGATAGTCATGTCCGATGAGCCTACCTTGCTCCAGTTATCTGATTTTCAGTTCATCACCGCTGTATTGCTAGTGTTACCTCCTCTTGTACCTGCACATTCAAATCCCTTGAGAAAATCTCGTACATAAACATGAAGTACGTTAAAACCATGCTCGGAGAACTGAGACTCCAGTCTCGAGTCTACATCACCGTGGCCTATTTAAGTATTTAGCTACTTTTCGAAAATAAATTTAATAATTTATCAAATTAAATCAAGTTCATAATTTTTCAAGGAAAATAGTAAAATGCAAGTTATACTCTTGACAGATTCGCATACATATCCATCTGAGCTTAAGAATGAGAGAAGTTTTTAATATAGTCATACCGTGACTTGCTCTTGAATGAAGACTTCTTCTTCATACCCCCATGATGTGGTTTCCTTTGTTTTTTCTCACTCATATCATTTTGAAAAAGATCCTGCATTTCATCTCTCCTTGATTCAGATACTCTGGTTTTTGGTTTCAATTTTTTCCCCGTCTTTCTAACAATCTTGCCAGCATCAACTGCCTTGTTCACAGCCTTGACTGCTTTTGCACGACGATAAGCAAGATCAACTAGGGAAATCCCAGATTTCTCTTTGTCTTTCTTTGTTTTCCCTTTGCCCTGAAATGGTTGAAGGAGCAAGATAGGTAACACTACCAAAGAACAATATTAATATGTTAAATAGCAAGCAAAGTACGTATTCAAATTGCTTAGTTCATGAATTCGGGACCACATAGATTATTATGTTTGCAACAGCCCTCATTCTCAACTGATTTTTTCTCAGTCCAATAGCTCCCATTTTCTCGAAAGTATTTTCAAGAGATAGAGATTCATTTAAAATATCCTTCAACAATTGAAGATGTTGGAAAACATTTACAGAAACGAACCAAAATCCAAAGATGCGATATATAGAAATATGGAATAATACCATAATATCATCGGAAAATCAGCATATCTTCCAGGTTTCATATTAAAAAACTGGCATTTATAGATTGCTAGAGACGACAATGAAATATGCAACAAGAGTGAAGTGAAGAGGAGAAGCTTACTTCATCTAAATCATCTTCATCTTCTAATTGCTCTCGGGCAGCCTCCAGCTTCCTCCTTTTCTTCCTCGGCAGATTTTTCTATAACAATCAGATAAACAATGAGAACGATGAATGACAGGTCGAACAAAAATTTGTACTCAAATTAACAAAAAGCACAAAGATGACTAGAACCTCCCGCTCTCGCTTCCTCTTCTCCTTCATCTTCAGGTCTTCCGCTTGTTCGGCACTCATCACCTTGCTTTCGGAACCATTTTCTTTAGCTGATGATTCCTGGAATATCATTTGCATTTCAGCAAAACTTTTAATCAACCAGTACTGTATTGTTTCAAGTATAATATAAAGGAATAATTGCACGGGCTAAACTGCAACATACTGTCCTCGCATTTCTTGCTCATGACCTTCTCAATACACCTGGTCAATTCAGACTATGATTCAAGCTTGTTATTCCTTATTTTTACTATCGATACATTGGCCAACCAAGAATTTAAATTTTTTTATTCAATGAGCCATGCGAATGTGTATCCTAAAATGATGTAGGAGTAATTAGTTTTACAAGGACAAAAAGAACAAGCACTATAAGTAAATGCCAATTAGGACTTCATGCAATCCTATAGAAACATCCATGCAATCCAGATAAACAACAAAGTAAAAGGTCACCTTTGCTGCCTTCTGGACAAGCTTTTTCTCCTTTTCTGTGACAAACCATGTTCTTTTGGGGCGTGAATAAATCTCATCCCTGTGGGCAATCATATTCTCAGCCTGCAACGTTAAAACAACACGTCAAACTATGTTATGCAGCATTTATCTAATGATTTTCTTCTTTTGGAGGGAGAAGGGTCTTAGACGTCTAAAACTACATGCAATTGTCCATTGTAGGGTTCCCAAAACTCTGTTGTGATACATTACCTTAGCTGCTTCCATCTCAGCTTTTCTTAGTGCCATCTCTTCCCTGCAGTAAACGAAAACTTAAGTTAGTTAATAAATAAGCTCTAATTCTCAAATTCAGTACAAATTTAAGGTGATGAAGTAACACCTCTCTTCTTGCATAATTGCAGCCACTTGATCTTCCAGCTGTTCAATTACTTGTGCCCACTTAGCTATTGATTGCTCTGCTACAATTCGACTCCTCAGCCTTGAACCAGCTCGTTTAACCTGTAACATAACTTTTTAGCCTCCATGCACATCTTTATTTCAGGGTGGCATAGAAAAAGTTGCAGTTTGTGGGTCTATATGGTTCTTATACCAGATAGTGCATAGTCATCAAAATGATTATTTTTATTTTAAACCATAAATAGTGCTACCTTCGTTTCAATTTATGTGAACCTACTTCTTTTGTAGCTCAATTTAAAAAAGAATGACTACTTTCTAAATTTGAAAATAATTTAGCTTAAACATTCCATTTTACCCTTAATGACATTTTTTTATAGCCACACAAATGTTATGGAATTTTGAAGACCACAAGTTCCAAAAGGTCTAATAGCCACACAAATGCTGTGTCATGTTTAAGACCAATCAAATAGGATTATATAAATCATCGAGTGAATGATCAATAAGGTCTTATCCCCAAAAGCAAAAGAAAAATCGTCAATATGTTGCTTTTGTCAAAGAACTAAAAGGCAAGATATTAGAACTAGCAGCACCGAATACATCTAACTAATCAATGGTTCCCAAAATACAATTTTCCTGATTAGAGAAATGGTCGCAAAGGAATAATCCCATGAAGCTGATCCTAAACAGAATTCCATAGGAAAAAAGGTACTGCATGGTCAGAGATATGATTAAAACAGTAAAAGATATTAGAAATTCACCAAAGACCTCTAATTGATCAGTGATTTTAATCATAGAATATCCTAACAGTCGAAAAGAGGACTTATGGAGTAGGACTCCTTAAGTGACCGAACAGCTAAAAGATGTTTGAACAGAGGGGGCATGAACTCACAATGGCTTTTAGAAGAGACCTATCATTGTCTGTGACAAATGTAACGGCATACCCTTCTCTACCAGCTCTAGCCGTGCGGCCCACTCGATGAACATAACTGCAAAGGAAAAGCAAATCAGGACTACATGAAGTACGTAAGGAGTTAACTCATTAAGAACTAGAAGATGGAAAAAGGTAAAAACGAACTCTACAATCCGCACTCCATTTTAAGTGGGTTGTTGCTGTTTTTAGTAATAAACCGACAATAGGTACTAAAACCGGCAATAGGCATAATGAAAAGAAAAACATCTAAAGAAGTATTTTAAAAAAAGGAATCGTCAAGCTAGGAAAAGATCAAGAAAAATAGAACATTATAAGCAAGTGAGTTGTTAAGTGTCAGTAAACCAGCATATGCAACCAGAGTTGGAACTTACCTAGTAAGATCACGTGGACAGGCATAATTTATAACCGTTTGAACACCAATAATGTCAAGGCCCTGATAAAGGAAGAAAAATACAGTCAACAGTAAAATATTAGAACATAATAAGAGAACATAATTCTAATTCTGCTCCAAGGATAACAGCAGGAATACAGATATATCAGCAGGACATAAAAGAGGAAGACTACATGCTTTTACAAGTTCATGCTTATAATGATCATATGAAACCAATCGGATAGGAACATCTTACACGAGCGGCAACATCAGTTGCAATCAGAAAATCCACTTCCTGTTTTCTGAAAACTTCCAAAGCCTACAGATAAAGCAATCGGTAAGAAAGCATCTAGACAGATTATTTATATGATTTCCGACAAAACATTTGACGGAACATACATCTAGACGTTGCGCTTGCGTAAGATTTCCATGCAGCTCAGCTGCTTTGAAGCCAAGTAAACCAAATATAATTTTCAACCTATGTGCTGCTTGCTTTGTACCACTGTCAAGATAACCACAAAACTTAGCCTTGCTGACCAAAAGATAAGCCAAGTGGAGGTCTAGAAGATAGATAAGAGAAGTGATAAAGTCAAATTTTGGCGAAATCAAAATGAACATTGGAGTCTCTACGCCAATCAAGAGTCCTGGTTATTAAAATGATGGAAAAGCATTAGAAGGATTTTCAAAGAAGTATTTAGTAGGAGAAGAGAATCACATTTGTTAGACTTATCTTCAAAATTATATGAAACAGTCCAACTTGTTCAAACGAAGGGTCACAAGGAAAGTGCATTTTACAGCACTTTCCTCTGTTGATGGTCAATATTTAGGACCGTTACATCAGTTATTATTTCAATATCTTCCACTGAACTTTGCCCAATTCATAACGCGTACTACACCATCCAATTTAATTAGATAGTTCTGGTTTGTCTTGGTAAAATTAATAAATCAAGTGCTAAAATGCTTTTCATCATCCA